CAAGCACCCCAGCGCTAGATTTTGTCCCTTTTACCCTTTAATAAACTTTTATTTATAAAATTTTCAACAGTGAGCTGTGTTTCTCACAGGAAGGACAGAGGAAATGTTTCCCAGGGCTGAGCAGGACTGGGGCTGGTGGGGACTGAAAGCTGGACAGGAGATTTGGGCAGGAGCTGAGCCCAGCTCGGCTCTGGGGCAAACTCGGGAATTTCCTGTGCTCTCTTTGCCCACCTGTGATGGCAGCACAGACCCAAAGCTTTGTGCCCCAACCCCACCTCTCATCCCTTCCACAGAGCAATGAGTGCCCCAAAACACTTCTGAAATGGGCAGAAAGGGTTCGGCAGGGAAATTTCCTGAGTGCCTGCCAAACCCTGAAATTTCCCCCCAAATCCACCCCCCAAAAATTCCCCAATCCCCCTAAATTTTCCACCAAGCCCACCCAAATCCCATCTAAATATCTCAAATCCCCCCTAAACCCCCAATCCTTCCCACATTCCCCCAAACTCCCCAAAACCACCTTAAATCCCCTGCAAACCTCTCAATGCCCCCCAAATCCCCCCTAAATCCCCAATTATTCCCATATCCTCCCCAAATTCCCCAAAATTCCCCCAAAACCCTTTAAATCCCCTCTAAACCTCTCCATGCCCCCCAAATCCCTCCTTAACCCTCCCAGTTTTTCCCAATCCTCCTCAAATCCTCCTAAACCCCCTCAGCCTTCCCAAAACTTCAGAAATCTTCCAAAACTTCCACAAATGCCCCTCAAACCCCGTCGAATCCCCCTGAACCCCCCAATCCACCCCAAATCTCCCTCAAATCTCCCCATGGATTTTATAGTTCTCTACTTTTTTTGGCATAGATATTTCTTTGTATTTTTATATTTAGGTATCTTTAAATAATATAATAAATATATCTATCAAAATGCATTATTATGTTGTCTTAGGGTGACTTTATGACACTTGTATCTCCAGTCTGTTCTGTTTATGCTGGACATCAAGTTTAACCTTTAAGCCTGATTGCAAGATCAAAGAGGGGAGAACTAGTTAGAGGAGAGCCAGCTTGAATTTATTTTCTAAAGAAAACCACTTCAAAAGTTCCCTCCTAAATTTGTCCTAAACCAAGACATATATTTATATCTATTTATATTTATTTTATTTGACATATTTATATTTTTATCTATATTTAAATAATATATTTATATATTTATATTATACAAATAGAAAATATCAACATATTTCAATAATATCATATTGCATGTATTGTATCTATTATATCCATTATATTTTATTCATTTTTGTATATTTATATAATTATATTGTTATATTTATATAGAAAATATTATATCACATATATTCTCTCATATAATGATATTATATTTATTCTTGTTTATTTTATTTTTATTTATTATTGGCATTTATTTATTTATTTATTTATTTATTTATTTATTTATTTATTTATTTTTGGATTTCTTCCCAATGGTTGCCCCACCCTCCAGCCCAGCTTTCCTTGAACAGCAGCTCACAGAGGGCTGGAATTCCTCCGTGCTCTGGGGACAAGGGACATGGCCTGGTCCAAGCCTCTCCTGGTGGGAGATGCTCTGATGACCTCTCCAAGGAGAAATTCCAGCTGGAATTGCTTCCAGGAAGGAGTCACAGACAAAGCACCACAAAACACCTCAAATCCATGTCCAGCATTCCATGTCCAGCCAAAGCTGTGTCCCTTTGAGCAGAACAACCTCCCAAAACCTGGAGTCCCCAGAGGTGACACAGGGGTGGGACTGCCAGGCCTCAGTGGCCTCCAGGCTCCAGCAGCACCCCAGGCCCAGATTTTCACAGTTTTCATCATTCACAAGAACACCTCTGATTCCTGGAGATTGCTCCATGGCCTGAGGAACATCAACGAGATCACAGAGGACATCTCTGCAGCCTGGACTTCCCTCTTTTTCAAAGAGAGGTGTGGATGTGACAGGCTGGTCAGAGAGAGAGAAAGCCAGATAAGTTTTCCCAGAATTTGTCTGGGAAGCTTTAGGGAGCTGGAGATAAACAATGATAGCCAAATATTAAAACAACCTGCAAGTGGTGTTTTTCTAATAATCAATTTTCCTGTTATTCTCATAAGATTGTTGACAAATAGGTGTCTTGTTAATTAGCCAATCAGGTGACATGTATTGATTAAATGACCGATCAGATCTACCTGTATCAGACCAGTTTATAAAACAAGCAGCTTCAGGGAAAACAGCATGCTCATGCAACTCAGCCTTCTGACCAACTCTGTGTCATTTCTGAGTTAACAGTGCCAAGAGGGTGGCCTCTTGTTGTCATCAACTTGAAAGATTGTGTTCTCAACATTCCACTGCATCCAGAGGATGATCCTGGATTTGCCTTTCTGGTCCCAGCCACCAACAGAGGAGAACCGCTGCAAAGGTTTTACCGCGAGGTTTTACCACTGGACAGTTTTGCCACAAGGGATGAAAAATTTGGCTACTATTTGTAAATATTTAATGGCAAAAGCTTTGTCTCCAGCCTGACAAAAACACCCAAGGTCAAGGATTTCACACAACATGGATGACTTGCCCATTGCAGCACCAACTCGAAAAGAAATGGAACAGACTTGTGTCTGTTTGTGTTTGTTTTTCCACAGCCAGAGCTCAGTTTGGGTCTGGAATGCTTGGGCACACAAGGAGAGCTCTGTGTGCCCCTGAGGGACAAGGGGCAGGGTCAGATCATAAACCAGCTTTTCAGATCTGCAGGAAATGCTTCATCCTCCTGCACCTCCTTCCACAAACCGGCTTGGAGGGGAGGCAGCCCCTAAAGAAAACACATTTCATGTGGGGAAGGCAAAGCCAAGCCTGTT